CCAGTTGGCTGACAACATGCAGCTTCAGGTTGGTGGTGATTGATAGCAGGATTTCTCTCGTATCCAAGACATGATTAGATGTTTCTCCTAAACAAGACACATTCAAAACCACCCGACTGGAAGTGATTTTTAGGATTTTTTTTTCACTTCATTCCTCTTGCTGTGGTCACAAAGCAACAGGTGGGGGAGTGGAAACAAATTCTGGTCACTCTGCGACTATCTCCAATTTGTAATTTAAAGGATGTGAATGGTACAACAGGGATTGTTTAGGAAAACTGGAAACGAGTGAATGCTTATCGCAAAGCAAACATATTTCTTACTCAGAATATGTCATCTGGTTTTTCTGCACTTTCCAAATTTGGAAGGCTGAATAGTTGATTTTAGCTAGTCACAGTTTGCTACACGGTTCGGGAGAAAGTCTGCTTTAGGTATTTAATTTACCAAGTAACATTTTTTCTTTAACTTTTCCTCGATTAGAAGCATTGCCAAACAGCTGGTGGTCTTTTAAGTGGAAATATTGAGCATACTTTTCTTCCCTCTTCTGGCAAATCGGCCATCAGCTCAAGCAGCAGGTGGCAGAGGGAAGGCAGCGTTTGAATATGGTGGTCCACTGCTTTCTCTGACTGATGGCAGCACTTCGTCACCACAAAGGTTTCAAATGAGCGGAAAGATTTCAAATTTATCTTCCTTTCTGACTTAAAAGTTTAAGATAAAACCTTCAGCCATTGCTGTGAGCACCAGAAAACTCTGATCGCTGTGGGATTTTCACTGGAAACTCCGTAACCCAGATATACTGTTGATTCTGGAAAAGGCCCCATGACCACAGAGTTGTATATATTTTCTGCAGTTCTGCTCTTTGTGACATGTTGGTCAGTTTGAGGTTTGCTAATTAAGAGTTGCATACATTTTAGAGTACCAACATAAAGAATAACTCTTTGTTTCTAAACAAAGTTAAGCATTCTGATAGCTAAACAGTGGCTCGCTGTGTTTCCTGTGAACACAAAATTGCAAACAGCCTAGATTTTAGTTTTTTAAACAAGTGGATAAATTTGATGGTATTGCCTTTCTTTGGTATTCCCTAAAGTTACAGGAAGGGGAGAGGTGGCGTGTTTATCTATGTTTAATATAATCAGAGAACCCCCTCCTGCTGTGTTTGGTATCTCATTAGAAAAACTGCAGGAACAATTATATGCAGGATATTAGAGATTTTGAGGCCCTGGCTTTAAAAAACAGCAGAAAGGGATGCATCCCATGTTTGAAACTGGCTCCGCTTCCATTGACTGTATAATTGCAAAATTACAAAAGTTAATTTGCTTAATAGAAACACACTAATTTTGAAAAATACTCATGTTTTTTGATAAAAGGCTTTTGCTCCAGGATGAAGTGGATTTTCACTTGTATCAGACTTAGTGTATTTCTAAAACTGCAATGGAACAATTTTTTTGCATCACATAAATTGTAATCAACAATCGGATGTTACTACTGGCAGAAAAGGTGAAGAAGACAACAGGAAGTGGCAGGAGGATGATGATGCAGCTTTTTTTAAATGACTTATCATATGAACAAACTTGTTTACGAGTGATTTTAATTGCATTTCCTCCTGTTTACTGTGGAAACACCACAATTGTGAAATTGTATGTTTTTTTTTTTTTTTTAGAATATTGAAAAAGTTTTGCCCACGTTTGTAATGGAAGCACAGCCACTGTTTAGCACCACTGCAGCTTTGCTCACATAGACTAAGGGTCGGGGTGGATACATGTCTGCCGGTTTTAATTACAAACCAAACAGTGTTCAATCCATTTCTGGAGCTTGCAGAGATAAGAGTGTGATTCATAAAGCTCAACAAAGACATTCATGTTCAAGCCACAGGAAGCAGTTCTTTTCATGACAACTGTAATGAATCTTTTGCTTCATTTCTCACTCCTTTTGCTGCTCCCGGCACTCTTGTCATATGCTGATCACCTCTTTTCCTATTCACTGCACTCTAATTGCTTGCTCTTTCTCTCTCTGGACTCTGCTTGCCATGCATTACCTGCTGCCCGCTCCCCTCCTCTGCCTCCACCCATCTTTTTAAATGAACAGTCTCCATCCCGGCCACACAGGACTTCCTCTCTCTCCCTTGATTGATTCTCACCTTTTCCATTCTTGCTGTTCACCTCATTAACAGAGCCCCCGTCTGCTCGTTTCCTTTTTCGCCACCCACTCCTTCCTACATCCCGACCCCCCCCCCTCTTTACTTCCCGTCCTGTCTGCTCTAAAGCGACGGCCGACCTGGATCCTGCTGAGGCCCAGCAACATTCCATAATTAGATGGGAACATAATAAAGAAGCAGAGAGGGGTGTCTCATCAGCTGAGGTGGAAGCAGAGGGCACTACAGCCATTCGTCCGTCCATTCTGTCTGGAGTTTAATCAGACGCACACAATAGGACGCTCTGGCAAAAGCATGCATGATTCAGTACCCCTCCCCTTCTCACTTTACCCAAGCCGTCAGCAGTAATTCAACAAGTGTATGTGCTGGAACAAATCAGTTTAACGTAGTCATACCTCCAGTAATAATAGTTTCTCTTACCGTTAGTGTTTCTTTGAAGGTGGAACTTTTTAATTATCCTTGTGTCTGCCGAAGTTTTCACAGTTGTTGTTGTCTTGAAGCAAACTGAAAAAGCAGCAGTTGAAAGATCTCAGTTTGCTCCTAAATGTCAAACAATCAAATTTTATTTACTTTTCAGCAACAAAGCGTTTCAAATGCTTTTCATCATAAACAACTGAAACATTTTGTCAAGTGCCGTCGTCACACATCAGATTGTTGATTAATTTTTTATTGATTGCATTTAAAAAGCAACTCTAAACAGGTGGGACTTTAGTCTAGATTTAAAGGCACTCAGTGTTTCAGTTGAAAAACAATACAGTAATTCCAGTGGAAATTACACGTTTATTATTCAAGTCCAACTGCCCTTTTTCACTTCTTTACCGACGTAGCTTCTCCTGATGCTGCTATTCTTCAAGTATTCCTTAAAGGGTGGTTTGGAGAAGAGCTACTACTCCTCTGGAATGAGACGTTAGCCTCGGTGGCTCAGTCATCTGATAAAAATGACTCCAGGTCGCCTCCCTTTGCAAGCGATTGAGAGATCCAGAACTACAAACACAAGGATTTCTAACTCCGGTTCTTGAGGTCCGGAGTCCTGCGTCCAACACGCAAATCAATTGTCTCAATCGTCAGGCTGTAGTGTCAGGATTGTTATTCTGACTGTTTTCTCCAGTGCTTAAGTGAAAGTGTCAGTGAATTTGAAAATATAACTAAATGTCACTGTTTGCATTTCTTTGTGTAACTGGTGTCTTAAAGAGTGTTACAAGTAGGAATGGGTTTTTAGAGCAGTATTTGTGTTTGTGGGTCTATAAATGCTGTGATACTCAGACACAGCAATCAATTACCTAAAAAAGTGCTAATAAATTATTCTTATCAGCTTTTAGTCCGTATTGCCCACCCCTAACATGGAGCTGTGTTTTAGTCTTCTTGTGCTGTATTCTTATTTCCTTTCCAGTAGATTTATTTTCCTGTTCTTTACCAGAAATCACTGCCAGCAGTAGAACTGAACTGATTCTGTGATATAGTGTAAATGTGTTTTCGTTGACCTTCTGATGTTCAGCTTGGTGAGTAGCCTTTCTCTTTACCTAACTCCATCATTTTATTGAATGATCATCTCTAAAAGGGCACCAATAATAATTTTGCAGCTGTATCATATCTGCCTGTTGTCTTAGTCAATGCAGTATACGGTGCTGTGAAAAGCAACCAGTCACGTCAAGCATCTGCTTTAGTAGCAGAGTTTTTTGTTTTTTGCATTTTTCTTATACAAATTGTTTTTATTCAACCACACATGAGGATTTATGAACAAATGTGAAATGTTTAAAGTACGTAGAAAAGACTTTTCCACTTCAAAATTGTGAATTTTTTTCTTGATAGTCATTCAGAGGTTGATTTGCTGGAGTACTTTTGATCACTGCTCCTCTTGCAAAACTCTAGGCATCAATGGCTGGATACCTTAACTTGGTAGAGAGCATAATTTATTGTTCCGTCATTTACTGCAAGTGACACTAACATCGTGATGAAACATGGTGGCAAAATATCTGCTATGCTGTTGTCAAGCTTTTTTTTTTATCGGGTTACAGGAAGTGTGTCAAAGTTGATCGGAAGGCAGACTGAACTAAATGGATGGCAATTTGAGATGAAAACTTGTTAGAAAATGCAAAAGACTGACAGGTTCAGTGATCCTAAACATACTGTGCTACAATGGAATCAAAGCATATTCATGTGCTACAATATAAGTAACTCAAAGTATAAACTTAAATCCAATTTATAATCTGTGGAATTTCAAATTCACTTCCAAAGAGCAACAGAGAAAAGCCCTTAGCATTTACATGTGCAAATTATTGATTTGGAGTGGCTGAATACAAATGCAGGTCACACTTTAACACATTTTTACAAATACCTTTCCAAACACACTGTCTTTTTCTATTAATACCATAATTATACACTATGCAATGTTTGTCTGCCACATGAAATCCCAAAGAAACATACTGAAATTTGAAACTGCAATGTGAGAAAATGGGGAAGTGTTCAGAGTGTGAATACCTTTGCAAGGTGGTTTAGAGGCAGCATCAGTGAAAAAAAGAGAGGAGGTGAAGATTAAATGTTTAGATTTTTGTTAGAAGTCATCGAAATTGACAGGATTAGAAATGTTCATATTACGAGGACATCTCTGGTTCGCTTGGAGATAATGTTGGTGAGATTAAGATATGCAGAGGATGAACAATGAACATCTGCACAAAACATATTAGGGAGGAAAAGAAGAGACATAAAGAAGGTGGATATGTTGAGGTTTGTTGTGACAGAGGAAGATTTTAGGGTTGGGGTGAGATGGAGCTGTGAAGACTCCCAAATGGGGGAAACCAAACAAATGTTTGATGTTTGTTGAGCAACTTCTGTTTTTTGTTCTTGTGTTCAGCAGCATCTGCATAGGACTGACAAACTGTGGAGCCATGGGCTGCGGACTGCGAAAGATGAAACCGGCGTCAGACGAGAACAGTCCGGGAAAGATTTACTCCACCCTCAAGAGACCACAAGTGGAGACCAAGGTGGGCGTGGCCTACACATACCGGTACCTGGACTTCCTGATTGGCAAAGACGGTAAGCTCTACAATTTACTTTTATCGGCTCCCTGCAGATCATTTCCACATATCTTCCCCTAATGTCCATAGATAGAAAATGAACTCTCCAGAGCTTCCACTGTTATCGATCTGTTATCCTTACAGCCTCATAAAGCAGATACATTACTGTCATTTTACTCTGGCAGGTGGTAAAAATGTGAGTAGCTGCTGTTTTGAGGGTTGTGCTGATTCATGTTGCTTCACAATAGGGCAACATAGTGAGAACATTAGCTCTGCTGGGTGATATCTTCATTTATGCAGTGTTTGGACTTATTCAACTAATGCTACATCCAGTATGATTAATTTGACCTCTGAAAATGCCACTACGCCACATCCCCAGGAGAAAAAAACATGAAGGACAGAAGAGATCTGTGTCTCATGGAGTAAGAGCACGCTGGCTATAATTTTCATCACAATTTTCTCATAATGACAGAGTGTTAATTAGTGCTTGTTGCCTGTATGGCAGCATCTATTATAATTTCACTCCTGACAGTTAGTCAGTCATGATTTGTGCTAATGATATAGAACTTTCCAGACCAATTTGTGTCAAACATCCAGCTGGCGGTCATATATAATGTGCACCAGGGTCTGTCCTGCCATGGTAGGGGATGCAAACAAACTAAATGGACATCGCCTAATTGTTTGGAAGGTGTGTTGTTCAAGGTCAGAAGTTTTATCTTGAGGAAATTGTGGTTAGTGGTCAGTTTTATAAAGCAGCTAAAGGTTTTCTGAAGGCTTCCTTTTAGAACATGAACGTGTGACACCTTCCTTCACAAAAGTATCCAACTAGTTACGAAGAAAAGGAGCCTGTCGAGTCGTCTTTGCTTCTTCCTCTCTCCAATCAGAGGTGTTTGTAAGATGGAAGGTGGCCATTTTCTCCTGACATGGAGAACTGGTATTGTCTGGGAAGGAGCACTACTGGGTGCGTGTCAAGAATTCGCTCGACATTATGAATTAAGCTTGATTAAATTATTTGAAAGGTTGAATTGTTTCAGGAGAAGAAAAACGACTGTTTTTGGTAAAAAATTATTTAAAATTTTGATTGTGATGACGAACTAAAGAGGTAAAAAGAGAACAAACAAACGGCTTCAAATATAAAATGTTTCTAAAAAAGCTTAGCAAAGTTTGCAAAGCAAATGCGTAGAAAAGGCACAAATAGAAACAATACAATATGGTTAAAATGTATTTAGAAGGCATCTAATGTATGCATTAGATGCCTTCTATTAATATGTTTGAAAAATAACTAATTACCTTGATGTTTCATTCAAACATAAATCTCCAAATGGAAACTCCAGGCAGGATAAGAATGCAGGAAATAGTTTGAAAACAACAAAATTGCAAGGTTACTTGCAATTTTGTATTTAATGGATTCATATTTTTTCCAGAATAATCAATTTAAATTAATATTTTATTGTTTTTCAGGGACATAATGTCCCACATGGACATTGATATTCTTAGTATAAAAATATGCCGACAAACTGACTTCCAAGCAAATAATAGATCTTTAAACATATGTAGCCTAATGTACATGTTGACAGCTGGTTTTGATCCTTTAACTTGAGTCCTAAAGGCTGATGTGTTGCATTTTTCAGACTTATTTCACCTGGTTTTATTTCATTATTAGCTCACTAGCAGAACTGACTCTCTGAGCGATTACTCCACTGTGTGAACCAGTTCTGCTGAAGCATGGTCTTGAACATGCAAGGCTCAGAAGGTGTTTAACCATTTTGCCAGTCATCATGCAGAAATGCTGCTCCTGTTGTATTTCTGCAAACTGCTTGCTGAAATGAAGTCAGCTCTTGGATCTTTTTAGCTGCAAGTTGAAAATACACCCAGATCTCCTCGGCACTATTAATTACAAGATCTATTTCTGACATTCAAAAGCTGAATTTGAATTTATAGAGTTTATACAGATAGTCCGACGACCGCATACTTGGTGTTGGACAGTAAACTTCTTGACTAGAACCAGCGTTCACCTCGAACTATTTTGTATGCAACACCAAGCTGATAAGGTTGAGAGTTGGGACAACCAGTTGCAAGCGTTGCCTTTAGTGCCATTATCTGAAGCATCCATTAGGATTGTGGGAAAAGAAGGAATTTGTCACAAGCAATGTAGAGGAGCCTTTAGTGTGCTTTTTGTTTTTATGTCAGCTGTGTGACTGACTGACGGCCTGTACAGGCTGTACCCCACTTTAAACTCGCTGACTGCTCAGATTGAGCTCAGCCCCCAAGGTCCATGAATAGGATTAGCAGGTATAGAAGATGGATGGATTGATAAACACACCATTCTCCTGTCCCTCTCTGATTATCCTTTATTACAGAAGACAGAAAGCCTGCTGGAGTAAGGTCTGGGTTAATATAGGTTTAGGCATGGTATTAGAGTGAGATTAGGGTTAAACATATAATGGAGGTCACAAAGGCTGAGGTAAGTTAATGGGAAATAAATGCACCAGGTGGAGGAGGAGCCTGACTGGTATATATAGCCATCGCTCAGTTATTTCTGGCCCCAAGAGTTACAGCTGAAGTGGTGGTGGGTGGGGGCTGGGTGGAGGTTTGTTGTGAGGATGGGGGGTGCCACAGGAAGCAGGGAGATGTAGTGTGTTGTGTGCTCATCCTGACAGTTGATTAGTCTCCATTACTTTGCGAGGCGGACGAGGTGAATGGATGAAGGAGCCGAGGAACGTCCGGGGGGCCAGACATCCTCTGGGACCTGACATGAGGGCGGGACACAGACTGGATGCCTCATTATAACTGCGTGTGTGTGTGTGTGTGTGTGTGTGTGTGTGTGTGTGTGTGTGTGATTCATGACCAGTTTTTTTATTATTAGCCTCAATAATGGTGGGGGTTCAGACCTTATAGTAATCAGTTTCCTTTTAGCCACTGCCAGTCTATATTTCCTTCTTTGTAACGTGTGTGTTTGCTGGCTTCCCAGTGGAGCACATTAAATTAAAGAAATATGTACGTACATGTGGCCCCAGAGTGTGAAATATTTCATGCATTCAGCAGATTTTCAGGTTGAAGGGTTAGTGTGTAACTCGTGGCTGTAATTACTCTGTACCATGTACCAAAGTGAAGGTACTGATTCATGTGTCTGACTTTTTTCTACAGGAAACCTGTAAAATATTTAAGCACATTCAAAGATTATGAATAAGAAAACAGGCAGTGGTGGCTACTGAGCTGGAAGGCCATGAATACTGACTTTCACATAGTTAGCTAAAGACAGATCCCTAGCTGATTACTTTTACATTTTGGGTAATTAAACTTACTTTTGTGTCAAATAATAAATTGCATTGCTTTAAGATACCATGTCGACTAATCAGTATTTTAATTCTGCATTGTAATAGGACAAACTAAAAAGTTTCCAGTACATTATAATGCTTCTGATCATGCAAATGGTTCTGGCTTGTTTTATTTTGTTAGTAAGGACTGTCTCTGTCTTTCTGCTGCTAGGATTCATTTGCATGTTGTACATAAACTCTGGAGAAAGTTTGTGGCTGCATCGCAGTCTCCCAATTGAACAACGATCTTTTCTTCTCTCATAGCATTTACAAAGTTATGGATGTTGTTGTGGCTGCGATGTAAAGAATCTATCTATTCCTTTCAAACGTGCAGCTTCTTGGCCGAAACCAAAAGTGTGTAAAGAGCCAAATGAAGCCGGTATGTTAATCAGCTGTGAGTTTTCCCTCCCCAGAAAACTCACATGCCTGACAGTCAGATTTACTCTGCGAACAAGTTGAATTCAAACACAATGTTTATGATTATGATTGGAATGGTTTCAACTAGTATATATTGCAAATTCCTCAAAAGTCACTATTTTCTCAGAAGTTGAAGGCCGACTTTGTCCCCCCTCCTTTTCTGCTTAGTTGACTTGTTCTCGGTTTTTCCAAGGCGTGCCGCATATGCTCATAAAGAGCAAAATATCTCTCTAAATGCAGAGAAGCAGCAGAACTCTGCCTCAACATATTTCACAAGAAATGTTTTGTTTCCCGTTTTCCTCACAAACTGCAGAGTGCAGCCTCATGATGCTCGGTTCACTCCACTTCTGCACCATGAATAATGTTTGCTGTAATTGCTCGCCACAGGATTAGATCATAGCAGGGCTGCTGCTGCCACCGCCACAGTGTCCCCGCAGGTTAGTCACCAGTCGCCAAATGTATAAAAATAACACCTTTCAGCGCAGAAACACTGATGAGAGACGAGGTAAATTGGTGAAGAGCTGCGTGTAATAAACCCGTTCTGAATATCAGCGTGGGCCCACCAATGAGCTGCTGTTCAGTTTCAAGGCCGTCCGGATTCAACCATTCAACTCTAAAAAAAAAAAAAAAAAAAAAAAAAACACAGGAAAAAACCGAAACACAGAGTTTGTTTGATATTGAGATCGTGACCCCACAGGGAGACTAGGAAGCGCTCGGCTGTTCCCGTGTTAGATGGTGTGGAAAGCGACCATTTCACTCTAAATGCGAGCGCTGCCGACTCTGGGATGTTATTTTCCACGATGTGATTTTCAGATGTTTAAAACGCCAGGAGGAATTGAAACATTGAAAACTTGCTCAATATGCAGGATGTCTGCAGCTCCGTACGCGAGGGGAATACTGCGAAAATAAAGATGTTGCCGCGGACATGGATGCCGGTTAGGACGCGCTCACACACGGATCCAGATCCAGGCACACACAGCGTTTGATATCATCTCAGGAACGAGACACCTCATTTATATGCAAAGCCCCCGGAGCCCCGGGTCCCCTTGTTAATATGAGCTGTAGCAGTGGTGGCAGGTGACTGAGAAGCCCCCCATCCGTCCCAATCCTCCGTCTATTATTCCTCTTAAACGTAAGACTGAGCTGCAGGAAGGGTCAGCAGGACCGACAAGCGGCAGAGTTGCTTTTCCGAGGGGAGATTAGTCGCTGGATGGTGGGGAAGCCCGGATTTATCCTCCGGCTCCTCAGCTTGAGAGGTGGAATTGAATCACAGTTATTGAAGGGG